TTATTAATTATTGCTCACCTCCACACCAATGTTGCTCTCAAACCCTTAACCCTTTATAGCTTTAAGAGTGACTTGCATCTAAATTCTCTTTACATTATCACTGCTGAATCAAACATTGAGGTAGTGAGAATAACAGAAATGATCACCTTCTGAAACAGCTCTTGATTGGTAAACAAATTGCCCCTGTCAGTACCATAAGAAAGGGGAAGGTAACAGTATAGAGAATATAGATAACCATATTAGGCTACAAAGGGGTTAAATATAAGTGCTCTAATGTCTGCATCAGCCAATTATCTTTTATGATTTGATTTACTAACTTGATTATACATCACCTAAAACACCTTTAGTGGAGACTTTCTTTGTCTTCTACTTGCTGATAATTCTAATTATTAAGCTCTTTTCGATACTTGTACAATGGGGCAAAGGTGTGGAATGCCTTAATTCACTTAGTCTACCAAATTTAAGAAATGACATATCACTCCTCAGAAGGAACTTGTTGCGATAACAGCCATTTTTTGGTCATCAGAACAAAGTAATTCGCTATGAAATTCTTTAGTGATATATTCAACTATTCATGTTTTGGATTCATTGGTATATCTGGTTTTTTTTTTTTTTTTTTAATTTTGTTGATTATGTCTACAGTTTATTTCCACAGCCCTCCATTTCAATGTTACTTGATTTAGTTCTTATTAACCGAGAGGGAGGTCTGCATGGGAGAATCTTGACCGAGGTCAGCTGAAGATTCTTCCATACAGACCGACCTAGCTCGGTTAATAAGATGTTTATCATATAGCTGTGTCTTCTATAACAATTTTTTATATTCTTTGTACCTTTTTTTCTAGACCGGTCTAGATGCCGGTCTAGATAGGAAAATCTAGACTGCTTTCAATATTGATTTCAGCCAATCAAACTCGTGAATTCGGTAGTTCCCAGTCCTTGTGAGACACAGTCATCTAATGATAAATAAATATAGCCTATAAATAAATGAACGAGAATGAATAAGTAAATTTGTTGAGCAAACAGAATAAGAAAGATGATACATTTTTAGTTTTATAAATAGTTAAATATTTTTTTCTGTTTTACTGGCTTGGGACAAGGAAAAAATCTGAATACCCAAGAGGAACTCAACCCAACGTCTTTGGATTCAGTAACCATTGTTGCGGCTGGTCGACGCGCGGCCGTCGCCTGGGTTCCCATGCGGGACATCAATGTTTTCGTGCATGCGCGGTGGCGGCATCTTCGAATGATGCTAACGAGGCCACTGAGTTGAAACTTTTCTATATCGTTCAGTTTTTTTTTTTCCGATTTGTGGTCTTTACGATGCGTTAAACACTAAGATTTAGTGCGAGTTTCCCAAAGCTTTCGTGAAGGATTTTGGATTGAAGGTTTTGTTTTTACATGGTTAGTCACTGTTTAGCTTAGTTCGCGGCAACGACCACTAAGCCATAGAGAACTCCCTGATGAGCCAGGCCGTTACGATGTTCTTCTGTGACACGTGTTCTGCGTATCAATAGGATCAGCAATGATGAAGGATAATAAATTGTGAGCACGGCAATGAAACTAAAAAATGTTTTTTTTCGTATTGTACCTTTCTAAAAAAACATTGTTGTTATAGGGCCATTTTGTGAGAAGTTTGGGAACGGGGAGCCAGGGATGGGTGTCATTCCCGACTGGAAGCCCCTCCACTACTCCCCTGAGGAGGTGGTTGTCCCATATTTTATACAAGACACTCCAGCAGCCAGGGAAGAGATCACCAAGCAGTACACCACAATTAGCCGTCTTGATCAGGGCATAGGACTCATCTTGGAGGAGCTTCGTCAGGCAGGCTTTGAAGAGAACACTCTAGTCATATTTAGCTCAGATAACGGGATCCCTTTTCCTGGCGCTAAGACGAACCTGTATCATCCAGGCATGGCAGAGCCCTACCTGGTTTCGTCCCCCTATGCACCTGAACGTTGGGGCCAGATAAGTGATGCTATGGTGAGCCTCCTGGATATAGTGCCCACTGTGTTGGATTGGTTTGGGATCGAGTACCCTAGTTATAAGATTTTTGGGCACAATAAGGTGCAGCTTACAGGGACTTCTGTACTGCCCGTGTTGAAAAAAGAACCGACATCAGGGTGGGACACAGCTTTTGCCAGTCACAATATGCACGAGATGACTATGTATTACCCGATGAGAGTCCTCCAGAAGAAGAATCTTAAACTTGTCCATAACCTGGCCTACAAGATGCCATATCCCATCGCCTTGGATATTTTTACGTCCGACACCTTCGCAGACCTTTTGAACCGCACCCGACGGGGGGTGCCGACGGGATGGTATCGCACACTCGATCAGTATTACTACCGGACACAATGGGAACTCTACGATTTGAACACTGATCCAAAAGAGCTGAAAAACCTGATTGACACACCCTCTTATCAGGATGTGTTTAAAGAGCTACGTCAGGAACTATTGATCTGGCAGAAGAACACTGACGATATTTGGATTTGTTCACCCCAAGGAGTCCTGGTGGAGGGAAGTTGTGAGCCCATGGACAATGACGTTTAGGTACGAGGCCTATCCTATTAATAGTTGGCCTAAATATTCCGTATCCCGTTAATTCCTGTGGTTTTTATCCCTATAATTTCAGCCCAATTTCTCGGCCGAAATCTCTGTTTAAAATTTCAAACAATTGAACCCTCGCCTCACAGAACTCTTAATTAATATATATGTACTGAAGAATATTTCTTACTTTCCATAATTGTTCAATTTTATGATTGAAAAATTGGCGTTTGTGGATTCCCAAGAAATGAAAGTTTATCTTGTAAATCTATATTTCAAAAACGTGATGTTATATCAGTCTAATATATTGTAATGTCACAGTACAATCAATATTGTATTGTAATAGTTTAATCGATTTCCCATATTACAGTTGAACTTCAAAATTATTATATTGACATTTATTTTACCATAATGATAGAAGGCAAGCTTCAGTATACTACAGAATAGAATAAAAGAGTAATGTATCGTATTCTTACACGCGGTAACGCGTTCTGGTGGGTTGTTCCTTTTTGAACGAATCAAATTGTACTCAAATGAGTGTCTGTCTCCATCTTGTATTTTAACTTTGTCCAAAATTGCTGTACATTGATTCAAGCCAAGTCTATCGTTTTGTTCTTTTTGCAAGAGAAAGGGAGACTATCGAAGTTATTTCGAGACTGAATTGATTTTGCCTCGGAGCGATTTTCAGCCGAGTGTCAAAAGTAATCCGTGACCGCTATGGTTTTGCTTTACCTCGTTCTTTGATTGGTCCAGAAAACTCGTGCCCTCCTCTCGGCCAATCGGACGTGAAACGAATACCAGTCGTGCTTTGGTCACCCGCGTTTTCGCGCGCTTTTAGTAGTCTACCTGTTTTTACAATGAAGTCTCATTGGCTGATGATAATGTTTTCTTTGTTATGATTGATTTTTGACAATCAATTGAAACCGCTCCACCTCGCCACGTGATTAACCGAGGAAAACTCTAGCCACTCTGTTAGGATACAGCAGAGTGCAAAATGAAAAGCAATAGCACCTTAGAGAAATGCAACTGGGTCAGGTGTCTTCATGCGCTTCAGGCAATTTTGCTTTGCAATTTGAGCTGAGGAGGTTCTGTGATATCTTCTTGTGTTCCATTTGGCAACTATGATTACGCTGATTATTACTTTCGACTGCCTGGAATCCACGCAGTACGAGCTAATTAATGGCGACTTTCTAGGCGATCAATTGTTCCAGATCATGTCAAAAAACATGTAACATGATTTTATAATCAGTAGCAACAAGTACAGCGGGCGCAAAGGAGACAAAGCGTGCTGTCATTTGTAGCCGAGAATTTTATTTTTCCACTTCCTGCTGCCCACGGAACACAGTCATTATACAATCGTACTTGCATATCGAGATCCTGTGTGTAACAATACTCTCTGTTCCAATCCTCTTGTTGCGTAAAGTAAGGCCTTGTTGGAGCTTTGACCGGCACGGACACTGATGGGATGACTACCCGAGGTGACTTCTGAATTACGTCACGGTATGACGTCAGACTGATGTTGCTGTAAGGCAGGACTCGCCTCTCATCCTCGTCTGTGGAACCAGCTCTGAAGCGCTTCTTTCTTCTCATAAAGCTTCCGCCTTCGAACATGTGAGCACTCTGTGGGTGAAGACACCACAGGTGCCCTTTGCTGAGATTTGTCGGGTCTCTGAACGTCTTCACGAAACAGTCATTAAGAGAGAGATTGTGGCGAATGGAATTTTTCCATCCTTTGGCGGGGCAGTTCTCGCCGTAATACGGAAACTGCTTTTGAATGTGTTTGATGATGCCACTTAGCGTTTGACGACGATTGGGCGATTGTATAATGGCCATCACTATCAAAGAAATGTATGAGTATGGTGGCTTTCCCTTCTTCCTTTCGACCAAATCTGTCGATTGGTCCAAATTAATTAACCCAAGCTTTGGTCTTATCTGCTTCAAAGCTTTCCTAGGGATGATGGGCTTTTTGTCGGACTCGAGGTTCATTTCTGAACCGAGATTTTCTTTCTCTATCGCTTTCAGCTGAGCACAACGTTTTGAACTGTTTAAATAGAGAACGATCCTGAAAGAACTGAGCAATCATTCTCCGTTTTAACCAAACGCTGGTAATCCGCAATTGGTTGTGCTCACAATACACGCTTAATTTAAGTTGATTGAAAATTTCAATAAAGTGTGAAGCCCTAAATTTGCCGCGACAGTTATTTCAAAGAGTTAAGTGAAACCATGAGAAAAAACGTCCTTAGAGCAGACTGTCCAATCGCATTGAGACAGACATTAGTTGATCAACAAATTACATTTATGACGGAACATTTTAATATTTGTTTTTCACCTGCTTTGTTTTTCACCTGCTTTTTTCCTTGAGTCATCAGATCCTAATTTTTCTCACAATTTGTGAATAGATTATGAGCAGCAATTACTTGCTCTGTCACTGTTAATATCAGTATGAAGTAACCAATTCCCACAACTAGAATCAATAGTAAGATTTGGTGGGGATAGTGAGAAATTTTGTTTTAGTTAAGGACCCACTAGGTTTTCACTGAAATCGTTAGAACGACCTCAATTTGTCAGACTGGAAGATACTGCAAACTCAGACAAAGCATTTTATTCCTTTTTAAGGAACTCGTAGTATTGTCATTGTTTTAAATTCAGGAAACGGAAAAAGGGTGAATGATTGCATGGTTATCTAGCTGAGCATTCAAACTCTCTAAAGACTTTTAATCACCTTTTCATTTACAATTTAAATGATATCCCCCTGTAGAGAGAGAATCAATTCTTTTGTCTTTACTACTCTCTTATACTTAATTTTTAAATTAACAAATGAGGCATTTGAAGAAAATTCAAGATATATCTTGACCCATTATAAGACTAATCTATTGTTTCTACGCTTCCAAATAAATCAAAATACCAAGATGCATGAGTGAAATTTATCAAACCATTTTTAACGCAGAATTCCTGGAACTAAACCTTGACAGTATAATTTAATCGAGTTGTTACCAAATGCAGCTTACTTTATGGACGTTAAACTTAGGTGCTCCAGACAAAATGCTATTTTTCTGATTCTTTATTACTTGACAGTTCGACTTGATATATTTATTTTAAAACGTATTGTCTCAATTCAAAGGATAGGTTTACGCCCCTTAAGACAAGCGAATCCATCTTTTACCAGATAAAAGGAGATGTGTCCCCAGACAAAGATACTTTGAATTGAATTTATATCTCGATTTTAACGAATGCGATTTTTACTATTTCCTCAAAATGGAAGGATAGCTGTGTACACCTATATATATTACCAGATAAACAAGCGAATACATTTTTAGCAGGTGATGGTAGATACATCGCCATTTAAGGATTCTCGGGTTTTTTTTCTGACTGCGATTGAACTTTACCTCCTCAAATTGGAGGATAACTTCTTACGCCTAATACTTCAAAATAAATAATTTGATTTTACTTGTCTATCAGATAAAGGCCGATTCATCCCTTCGCGAGAACCTCTCTCGAATTTTCGTCCAAAGGCTTGCTTGAATCGCCACGCGCGGATGCGCAAGTTTTATGGTTTCAATTAATGGAAATAAAAAGTTGACGTTCATTTGTTGTCAACTGCGAGACTGTTACCCGCGCAGTTGTTTAAAAAACTATTGGTACTTAAAATAATTGGTTTTGATGAAAGCAATTTAAAATAAAAGAATCCATAGTACTTAATAAATCTTCTTTCATTTCCCCGATGGTTTCAAAGAAACAGCCGTTTTTTTATTCAAGGGAAGACATTTCGTAAAGAATGAATTATAAAATAGGATATTTTCTGTGTAAATCCAGTTCCATTATGTTACGAAAAAATACGAGACTTCGTACTTCAAGAGTTGAATTCACGTAAAATATCGTACAGTACTGTGCGTCCCTCGTAATGTGCGCATCGCTTTGACTCAATCAAGAGTGTTTTGTTTTAGCAGTTACCTTTGTAACAAAAGAAACCCTTTTGTTAAACGCAAACATTTTTATTAAAGGTTATAATAACTCTTGGGAAAACGTAAGCTGTTCACAGTGTATCACTTTTGTTATGTATAATTTGAATTAAATGAGAAATTAAAAGCGCAGAACCGGCAACACTTTTGTTTTGTGGAATAGTAAAAATCGAAATTTTTTGGCCATATTTTTTGGTTACAGTTTACTTTTTAACGTAGTTTACGCTGGTAAGAAACCTGACTATGATTGAGTACTTATGCAAACAGCCCACTTCTTTAGATACACACAAGTATAGTTTAAGATAAACAGATGCTCTGGTCTCGAAGAGTTCTTTGTTCAAATCGTTTGAAGTTTAGCAGCGTTATCAATATTTTATCTATTGCTGATTATGCTTCCTCTAATTATAACGTTATTCGTCAGCTTTTTTCAACCCTTTTTGAAGTTCTTTTGCCAGAGTTTTTCGCGTTCGACTATTCCGAATAGGGATGTAATTTTTCAACTAATGATTACAACTGTTCGCGCGTGTAGCGGCAATTTCTTGAACGACAAAATATTGAGTATTTTATTAGCTTTTATGTAGAAGTACAGTTGACTTATCTTCGTCGTGGGAAATTGATTACGCAACACTTCTGTTCTTTTGAAAACAGTTTTATTTGAGTTTTCTAAACAAATGGAAATTGGCATTTATCTTAACTCAACTCCACATCAGGGTGTGTTGGGACTAAGTTTTTACGGCGACTTACTGACCAAATGCAACTGAGATGTAGTGGATAATGAGATAAGGGGAAAAATATCGCGAATTCAGAGGAACTTTCTGGATCAGTGTTGACTAAAAGTGGCCGCAAATAAATTTTGCACTGTTAGCCGAGATGTTTGCCTTTAAAGGAAAGCGTGAATTACTGATAAAAATACAAGGAAATTTTTATCAGAGACCTCTAAAGAACAAATTAAATTTAATGGAAAAAAATTTTCGGATCCAGAGATATTTGCGACAAACAACGATATACAAGCTTTAATTTTGAACCACGAACATTTTCAGGGACATTAATTCCAGATATCTATCTACTAAAGAGTACTTCCTTGACCAGATAAAGTGTTATATTTTCAAACCAAAAAACGTTTATTTTTGGAGGACTAATTATCTACCTTTTTAAATCAGTGACGAAATGAAAAAAGTACATTTTATTTAACTGTTGTGGAAATGAGAAACGATGTTATTAAACTCAAAGTGGAAGTCAATTGTTTTGGAGCGAAGCTTTGCAGTCTCCCTCATGATGGGTCTATTTTAAAGAGAGAGCCTTCTACTCGGTTACAAACAAATGTGATTACATGAAGTACGAAAACTATTGATATCTAGGAAAATTTAGTGGTGTGCTCTCGTTCCCCGATTAATTATGACCTACGAGGAAACTTTTAATGGCACAATAAAGCACAAGAGTGGCGGGACGATTATGGTTTATTCGATGTGAGCTTACGCTATAACAAGATGAAATTCTGCAGCACTAAGTGGAATGTTATCTCTAATTGTACAAGCTTTCAGCTTGTGGTCTTTATAGACCCGTTCATATATTCATGGAAGCCGACATAGCAATTCTATTATCAATACTTTCAACAATTGAGTGGGATTTCTCTTTGTTGTAACTCCAACTCGTGAAGCGAACCAAACTGTAACAGTCACCAAGTTAACTGATGTGACTCTCTCTCTCTCGTTGTGAATTTATCAATAATCGACAAGGCAGTCTTCCTTGATTTGCATTGTGATCCACAAAATTCTCAATAATAACTTTAAAGGAAAAACAAGGCGATCAGTAATGAGAATTGACCGGAAATTTTATATATCAAATGTAGCAGAATATTGTAATCGAAAGTCAAGAGTTTTTATATCATTCTGACCACGGCATAACTGTTTTTATTTTTGTGTCGGAAACTGTGTGATGCTTATTGAAAGAGTCTTTGCCAAACTTTCTCTTACGAATGAAAGACGAAAAGCTACATAATTCTTCTCAGTTGAACCGAATTCTTTCGGTTCACGCCGGGTAGATGTTCAGAGTGAGAGCTTTTAGCCTTTGGCAAAAGTTATAGTCTATAAACAAATAGGCGTCTATAAAAAGTGTCTAAACAAGGTGTCTAATGATAAATGTTTCGATTCCAAACTTATTATTGCTTTTAGATTTTCTGAGTTCACTGATTTATCAGTCAGGGTACAATGTGCGTCTGTACATCTGACCATGGAGCTTTTGTCATAAAGTGAAATGATTTTGGGCTGTGTAGCAGTGGAGGAGTGAGACAAACTATACTGTAAGTTTTTATGATTTTGAAGGGCACCAAAGCTGAGGGGTTTTCACAGTTAAAGGGTGTCCACAAATGAAGAATTTCGACACCAGGAAATTGTGCCAAAAAAAATCTGTTTTCTGCCATTATCTGCTGAGCTTTCGGGGATCTTCTTAAAGTTATTATTAGATCCTAGGAGGAGAAAACAATAATACCACTGATGATCCAACTTGGCACGAGAAGTACTTTGTTCGCGCGACACCACGCTTCTATCACTCAACGAGAGATATTTTTCCAATCCTTTGATCTACTTCATGCCACGATGATGTTTTTTTTTACCAAAACGAACAGCTTCTATTCAAAAACAAGCCCCAAACGTAAACACTTCAGCTTAACCAGTAAACCATCTGAAACAATAAGATCGAACAATAGAACTCTTAAACGGTTTCTTTTGTGTGTCTTTCCTGAAGAGAACAGTTCTGAATTTAGTTATTTGTTGTGGTAGTTTACGGTTCTTTTTAGCACCGTGGGGCTTAGACTAAAACAGTTCGTGTGAAAGCGACCGATTGAGTGCAGATGGTGATATATAGAGCATTTTCCTTTACCCCTGCAGTGATTGCATCGAAAAAAACTTCTGAAAACCTCCAATGCCTGAAAGGTATATATTTTCTTTTCGTGATGTTTCGTGATCAATTAACTGGGGCACTTCTCTTAAGTTCTCTTATTTCAACGAGGTATTCAGTCCTCCTACGAAATCTAACTTAAAAACGGCATCTAAACGTGAAGATAAGAAATGTAAGCCGTGTTCAGCTCCAGGGACTACCATGAAGGGAGTTTGTTTTGGACTAATGCCCCCAAAACTTAATTAGCAATTTTAGGATTCCTATTTTGCTAATTTTCTCTAATATAAAAAACACAAATGTTGAGTATGAAACGTGTTTCGCGCTGATCAGTAAATGAGTATCCGTAATTGTCGCTTTGTAAGATTTCAATTTGTTTTTTCGGTAGCTTTGAGCAATTGCACCGTGAATTGGTTCCTTTCACAAAACTGATAGCGATAACGCTGTGTGACTAATGACTATTTTTGTTGACATTTAATGTTCGCCAAATGATAAATGGCTAAATTTAAGGCTTGGCCAACATCTGTGGCGGCATGAATTATTTCGTATTACTATAAGTTTTCATTACAAAAACTTAGCCACAGAGGAAAAATAACAGATAAACTGAAATGAGAAGGCAATTTGTTTTGGTGTGTGCAGTACTAAGAGAATGCCTACGTGTTTAAAGACAATAAACGTTCAAATCTCATCTTTTCTTGACTGTTTCAATTTATTTTGTAACCGTCCTTTGAAAGGCTTTAAGTATTGTTTCACAATCATTTTTATGTACACAATTCACTAAATTCTGAACGGTTGCACTGGTAACATTACAATTTATCTGTAACATTTTCTTCAAATAGGTAGTGATTTCTTTCGCAACGGTATTCAAAATCAAAAGTCTGCTTTCGTTCATTTCATCGTCTTCCGCACATCATAGCTGATTTTTGCTTGATTGCTTTGATAATAAGTATCTGGACAGGGTGACTGCTAAATCCTCGTTATTCTCTCCAGAACAATCTACACAACCATTCATTTCATTTGGGACATATTACAGCAGTGAAAAGTTAAAAAAATCTTAAGGAACATGGCGACGATTTCACAGGTTTTTATATTCCAATATTTTCCTCAAATATTTTTACAAGGAAGTTTTGTGATTTTTCCTTTGAAAAACTTTCGATAAAAGTTGCTTCTGATCAAAAATTCTTGCATTACATCTTTCAGAATAGACTTGCTCATCAGAACTGATCACTGAACGATCATAAATGACTGTCATGTTTTGAGAATAAGAGAGATTTCCCTTACCAGATTTGTTCTACCGTTTCCCAGCCATCTGGCTGCAGTATGTACAGTAGGAACTTGATGATACAATGCAAGGTCTTACAGTGTTGCTGTAACTTGAACGCACAGGGGAACAACACGACAACGAAGGGCTTACTTTGCTATTCGAAGGTCGGTGTTCTTCCGTCTCCGAACCGATAATGCTCGCGATGGAGAATTTGGCAGGTCTTTGCCTTTCTCTCGACGTAGGAGGGTCCGTTGGTCTGCCGAGAGCTGGCGGAAAACATGCCAGGTACCTTGGAACTGGGAAATGAGAGTACAACGGCGGACGCCAGCTCGAGGATTCCATGCAATTCCAATAGTACTGAAACCCGAAAGCGCCAACGGCTCCCTCCGTTGGCCGCGGTCTCTTGAATCTTTTTCTCCTCCTCAGAAAACTGCCATTGTCGAACATCCCCTCACTGGCAGGATCCAACGTCCAGTAATTTCCTTTGCCAGGGTTTCCCGGTTCACGCGGCATCTTCATGAAGCAATCGTTCAGAGAGAGGTTGTGCCTTATGGAATTTTGCCATGAGGGGAACTTCTCGCGGTAGTACGGGAAACGCCGTTTAATGAAGTCACAGATTTCACTTAGGGTGAGTTTTCGTTGCGGTGATTGCAGAATAGCCATTGTGATCAGTGCTATATAGGAGTAGGGTGGTTTAGACACAGACGATTGTCTTCGGTTTTCACTGGTAGAGCTCTGCTGCCTTAAAATTGAATCCTTTTTTTCTTGCCCTTCTTTTCCTTCTTCCTCTTCGTCCGGTTCTTTCTCCGTGAGGATCTCATTGTCTTCATCGTCGCTTTTGGCAGTTTTAAAACTTTGATCTGCTAACATCTCTTCGTCATCACGCTTAAATTTTTCTTGGAAAGCCATTGATATTTTTTTTTTTCGGTGCACGCACGCACGCTCTCACGCACGGCCAAGTGGAGTTTGCTGCACGGAGAGAACTGAATCGTGGAAGGTGGCGAAGATATGTTTTCAGTCGGCAAAAGTTGTTTGAATAAGTGAACGTACACCGGACCACCCACCTGTGCTGTGACCACTTATAACAACTACCCTCCCTGGGGCTATCGGAGATTTATTCACACATTAGCATCAAAAAGGTTTACTCTCCTATATCCTATCTAATAATTACCTCATTAAGGTGGTGTTCTTTGTAATTAGGCCGTATAAAAACTTTTCCTTTGATCGGTACACTTCAACAGGAACAAAACGACACTGTTTATTGCTGGGATTTTGTAGCGATTGTAAAAAAGGCTCCGCTGTTTCGCCGCGCAAAAAAAATGTGGAATTTAGATCTTCGAAAGTTTGTTATTTTCTCCGAAATACCTCTCCCACGTGTTTAGAATTCTACCCTCAGTGTCAAATTAAGGCAAACAAATTTTATAAGGTGAGCCTAAATCTATTTCAAATTATTCGCAGATGTTACCCATTTGAGCACAATATCAGATAAGGCTTTCAAAGTTAAGTTAAAAGCCAGAACGTCATGTAGAGATGGACGGAAATTAGCTGCGAAACCGTGAAGGCAAATTCAATGGCACAATTAATGAGGGAAAAGATTGTAACCATTTGTTAAACAGCACTATCAATTCATGTTTGATTTTCATTTTGCTAAGAGCAGTTTGTTTACAATACACTTCTGAGATAAAATGGTTTTATTATGTCTTTCCTAAGGTAAATAAACATCGAAATCATCTGCATGAAATTACCTCGCAGTGAAAATAGATTTTTAGACGACGAAAAAAACAGATATTTCATGTTATTTTCTCTTTTTGAGTTGGACTTGAAGGGAGAGAGTTTTCTGTGCGAGTTGGTTACGAAATAAATGAGTTTTTCACTGCAGGATTATGACCATCTTTGCGGCGTACTACAAGCACATCTATCGAAGTTGTGATCGTTTAAGAGAGGGTTTAATCCTAACTTAACCATTTGCAAACACAAAACACGATAACCCCAAACGGCGCCGCGGAAACGTCATCTTACGTTTTCACCCCACAAAGATATCGATTAGAATATCTTCTGAATTATAAGATGGTTTTGTGTTTTCTTTTCCTCGAGGGCCATCTTTTTTTCTAATTCACCAAAAATAACTATTTATGGAAGGAAACCCCCTTTACTAATCTTTAATGTAAAAAACGAGTCGTTGTAAAACAACCTTTTTGTTTAACATGATCATGGAAATTTTTGCATTTGTACTCCCAGAAATAACGTGGCTTTTATTACGTGTTAAAAAATATTGTTCGGAACAATTCGTTTCACAATTTTTTTCAGGATATTTTCAGAGAGATTCGCATGAATGCATTGCAGCAAACGATTGTTGTACTTCAAAACTTTAAGGAAGGCGATACCTTAAAGGGTTTGTGTTAAGCGATCTTGTCGAAAGATTTACAAGTTATAGCTGGTTTAGAGATTGACTGGGTTTCTCCGGCGACAAAAAGAACAAAAAAAAAAAAAAGCAAACAAAAAAAAGAAATTCGCTTTTGAAAAGGCACGAATGAAAATCAAGACTTCAACTCTTTTACCTGAGTTACTTACCGTTTTATCGGAAATTTCAAGGTCTTGTTCGATCGTGTAAACACAGTGAAATATTCAACTTAATATGTGAATCGAATAAACCGCGATCAAAATTAAAAAAAAAAATCTTTAAAAAAAGGAGACTAGACGATTGGTTCACCATAAATTGCAGAGTATCATAATTTTCAGTTTTCTTTTTTTCCTGAAATTGAGAAGGGTATTCAATTTCGGGTAGGAGAAACGGAATTTAATTGATAAATTTAGCTGTTTAGCCTTTGCTCGAGTTACCAATATCATTCAGTTAAAATTGAAAGCTACCGGTCCACCTCATCTAATCCTGATATATTGTTTTTTATTCTCAAATTCTGTTGTTTTGGCCTCAAATCCTTCGAGCGTGTTGGCTTATTAAACAAATAAAAAGTCTCTGTTTGCCCATGATTACACTAAATTGAAATTAAGACTTCGACACCGCTCAGAGTTCAGCGAGAATCGATTTGAAAATTAATTAACTGTTCCTTTTTTTTTGTTTCGAGTGAAACCAGCCTTTGAGCGCGAACAGTTTCGTGTCAATGTCTTGTGTTCAATAAACTCAATCCTGACAGTTTGAACAGTTCATGTTTGCTTGGTCACTTCACAATTATTAATTTCTCAAACTCACTGATTACAGAAGCCATAATTTTTGCATGGTTTAATTTCCTTTCATGCTCTCCGAAATATACAAACAATTGTCAAACAAGGATGAATATGGGAAAATTGCTAAGAGTAGTTTTTATATTGATCGAAAACTGAGATAAACCGGATCTACTGCCTTGGTATATGTTTACGATAGATTTGTAAAGAATATGGTATAACTTTTTCGCGTTCAATCCTGATCTTCCCCGAGGCTATGCCATTGTTCCGGCGCCGTTTCCATGTTGTTAGATGTTGTAGTCTTTAGGGCAAAGCTAATTCAAGTAAAATTAATTTGACGAGTGAAACATTATGCGCTATAAAAGTCGTAATTTTGTTATATTCTTTGTTGATAAACCTTGTCGACAAAGACCTCAAACACCTGTATGTAATATATGCTAATCGAAATAAGTTTCATTTCCACTTTTCTTCTTTCATTAAAAGTTATCAAGGGCAGAATAAAAAGCTTTAACAATTTATCACTCCCTGTCGTCTTCCGCGAGCTTTGGGGGGAATCTATTATTTTCTTTTACAACACAGGAAATTACGAGCGATTTGGTTAGCTAAAGAAAACGCGATGCGTACACTCGATTCAGCGGGAAAGGCACTGTAAAATGTCGATTGCGACACGTTCTCAATGGCTTTTTGAGTGTGCTTTCTGTCAACTGAAAACGCTATTATCACAGTCTAGATAGGTCACTAAATTTCACGTAATAAAATGATCAAATAAAATAGGCACCACTAATTCAATATTGTCGTATTTTGAATCGCAGAAAAACTAGACGAATTTAAAGAGCATCAACAAAAACTCAGAGCCTAAAACTTGGATTTACTCGGAGGTGTTTGGTTTTTTTATGCATACATCACTCCAGGGTTATCTTGTTTGGTGATATCGCTTTCGGTGTTTTTCATATACACACGTACTTAAGTAATTAAACTAGCCGGGGAGGAGTTGAGCGAACAATATTCAGCTGGTTTGCTAATTAAGGTCATTCTAGGCTCTAAATGGGGTTTCTAGCTTGAAGAAATGTCTCGATTATAAATAAAAAATCTGTTAATTTGTAAACGCACGTACACGCGATTTGCGAAACAGATTTCTCAGATAATCTGAATCTTCTCGAATGCAGAACAGGTTTATTCAAACTTAACGAACTCAATTTGATTTTCCTTGAAAATTTAATTTTGTTCTACCATTATGTAGGCTGGTGATTATTTTTGTACTAGGATCACGGATTTAAAAATGGTTTGTACTTATATGTGTAACAATTCGTACATCTTGTGTCTTAGTTAGCACATCTTTCATTTTAGATGTAAGAAAATGGGATTTTTTTTTTTGGAGAAACTGTATCTGTTTTAAAGATAAAATTAAAAAGCACGAAACTCAGTTGAACCGAGCTGATATTGCTTTGAGAACGTTTTTGTCTTTAATCAGATTCTCTTTTGTGAAATAGAATGTTCGCTTGCGCTGTGGGGAATTTTTACAAAGCCAACTTTTTTAAAAATCCTGATTGACTTTGTAAATAACCAGTAAGAAACCTATAATACAAACGCCCTTCAGACAATTTTGAATCCCGATAAGGCTCAATGTTGTTTGGGTTAGGAGAAGAATACGAACCGAATAAGGGAAAGTTCGTGACGAAAGGAGCAGGAGACAAAAAATCGGACATGATCTTCGTCAAACATTATACCCGTATTGAAATATCTCAATAACTTTTTCTCGTGGTGTTCCGATGTCTTACTTCAGAAACATGAAATAACTAGGACCTTTTTCTCCTTTTTAATTCAACAATAGTTTTTTTTTTTTTTTTGATATTTCTAGTAAAATGACGTTTGTTTTCCAAGTATATATTGTTTTTGTGATCGAGTGAACGAATAGAATATTTAGCCTGCTTTCGGGTCTCTTGTTTTGCTCCATGTCTTTTCTTCCGAAAAGTGCATTCAAAGGTTGAAGCTTTCGTTTGCCAGACCGCGATTTCGTATGTCATGACCGCGATCAAGGATCATCTGAGTTGGGTCCTCTCTCTACCTCCAATAGGATATTATCTGCTCGTAAATGTAGCACGGCATCTCGACTATGTGCAAAGAAAGATAAGCAAAAATCATAACCCTCGCTAGATGAAAGAAATGAAAAAATCAAAAATCTCCTCCTTCGCTAATCAGTTGGGCAAGGCAGTCACAGATGTAGCTAAAAATAAATTCTTTCCATTTGCATCCGCGATCGAGTGCCGTTTTCGTTTTTAAAGCCGTCGGCCTTTCCTTTTCCTCTTTTTTCCTTTGCTAAATACAGGAAGGAGGTTTTAAAAGCATTTTGTTAGAATGGGGTAGCTAAGAAAGGAAACAATACGACTTCATATTACATTATCGATATCAGAAGGCAACCGCAACGCCATAGTTAATGTCGTCGCTGATGCATTTTAAGAGGTATCTAAATGAACGCGTTTAATTGATGTTCGGTCGAGTGGAAGGTGACTTTACAACGCCGCGTTATGGCAATTAATGTTTTAATACACAGCTTAATCAGTCTTTTAACCACAAACCAATGCACGTGTGTTGCTTTCTATGTGCGCAAAATGTTTATCAGATAAACGAGAGAGAGCGAAAAAAATCGTCTTTGACTTATTAACGTGATTGTCATGGTAGACCTCGACTAATCCAATTTTTATGCAGGCTGTTTCACGTTCCGCGTCTTGTAGGTGTCTCGGTGAGAATTCCGTGCGTTACCATATGCGTTGCACATGCTTCGTGTATATAATGTCAATCATTGTTATTGGGTTCTCAACTGAAACGAAGTCTTCAGTTATTCTTTGGCTTGTTGAA